CACCATTCGATCAATTTGCATATTAGGCTTTTATTAAATAGGATTACACATTTTGTTTATCAATTACTAGTTGATGCAGACTTGAATTATTTCCACTTTGGGGCCATTATGAAGAAAGCCACAAAGAACATCCTCATACAAGTCTTGGTGTGAATATATACTTCTGACTGGCTTATTTCACGTAGAATAATGCAAAATAAGCCAGTCAGAGAAAGATAAATATCACATGATCTCACTCATTTGTGGAATATAATGAACAACATAAACTGATGAACAAAAACAGATCCAGAGACAGAGAAGCATTGATCAGACTGTCAAACCTCAGAGGGAAGGTATGGGAGGGTGGGGGTAAGGGGGAGAGATCAACCAAAGGACTTATATGCATGCATATAATCCTAACCAATGGACACAGACACAAGGGGGGTGAGGGCATGAATAGGGGGGTGGGGGGGCACTAGGGGGGTAAGGACATATATGTAGTACCTTAATCAATAAAGAAAAAATTAAAAATATATATATTTCTGTTTCTCTTGGGTAGATTCCTAGGGTTAGAATTGCTGGATCTCATGATAAATTTATATTTAACTTTTTAAGAAACTGACAAACTGTTTTCCAAAGTGGCAGCACAATTTATATTCCCATCCATTATATAGTAGAGGTTTAAGTTTCTCCACATCCTTCCAGAAATTAGTTATTATCTGCCTTTTTTATTGTAGTTTTTCTAGTGAGTGATATCTAGTACAGTGGTATTTCATTGTGGTGTTAATGCTCATTCCCCTGATGACTAGGGATGTTGGGCATCTTTATATGTGCTTATTAGTCATGTTATATCTTCTTTGGTGAAATATGTACACAGTTATGTTTAAATAGTATTAAATAGGCTTTATGCTAATGGCACTTAATATTCCAGATTTTTAAAATGCATTTGATTATATATGAATGAACATTTACTATGTAAAATGTGCTAGGATATTTGTAATATTAAATGAGCATCTTCTATGTGAAATGTGTTGAACTACTTGCTTTGTCACATACTCTAAAAAATCCTTAAACTCTTGAGAACTGTGTAGCAATAACCCACATAAAAAGATAGACAATTCATGAATGTTGAGGACTATAACAGATTACTTTATACCATGTTTTGATAGTTCAAAGGAAAAAAATCTCTCTTTTATCTTGATAAGAGAGAGGTATCAAGGAAGGCTTAGAGAGGAGGCAGCAATTGGGCTCTATTTGTAGAAAGATTAAAAGTTCAGATATACAGAAAGTGAGATAGAAACTGTATTCCAATTTGGGGAAGTGACAATGCCTACAGCAGGGAAAACAAACTGTGCATATATATGAAAAAAAGGATAATTCAGTTTAGCTGGTCTATGGAATACATGAAGGGAAGTTGTTAGAGAGTTTGACGGATGTGATCTTGAAGCACTTTAAAATGCTATGCAAAGGAGTATATACTTTAGTTTCAAGAACAAAGAGCCATTCAAAGATTTTCAGCAATTAAGGGTCATTATTAGGGCTGTTTTTCTGGAGTAATTATTCTATGACACATATAAATCAGACTGGGGAAGGAAGAGAATAGAGGAAAATAAAACACCACCTGAAAAGGCATGACTTATGAGAGCATTGATGGAAAAAATAATAGAGACAAATGGGATAGAGGTTGGAGTTATTGAGTCCACAAAACTCAGCAGTTGATATACTTGTGGAGACGAGATATAGGAAGGCCAGAGAAGCCCTGGGGTTTGGCAGTTGATGAGAAACTGAGTGTGGTTCTGAGTTTATAAAGGAAGGCACTATTAATAAGGGTTTGTAACAGCAGGGATAGGCATGAGTTTGGTTTGGAGCTCTTAGACTTAAGGTGCCAGCGAATCACCAGTCTCTGTTGAGTGACACTGGAATCCTGGAACCACACAGTTCAGCAGAGCTATCAGTGTGGTGACACTATAGAGAGGAAGTTGTTAAGGCCATGAGATTAGGATAAATGTGTAGACATAGAGCAGACCCCAGGCCTTCCTTCATCTGAAGCCCAAAACTCCATTTACACCAAACACTCTCAGTACTTTTTACTGGAATCCTAAACTCTAGGATATTTCTAATTTTCATGATACAATAAGCACCAAGATTATAATATCTCTCTACTCTTTTATTAACAAAATGTTGAAAGTATTATAGATGTCCGTTTGTTTGTTTGTTTGTTTGTTTGTTTGTTTTTCCCATTGATCCACTCCACCCCACACCTACCCCTCCCAGGCCTTCATCACTCTATTGTTGATGTCCATATCTATAATAATAAAAGCATAATATGCTAATTAGACCGGACATCCTTCCAGATGAAGCCCTGGCTGTGAGGGAAGCCCGGGTCCTGGGTGCCAGAGGGAAGCCGGTGCCGGCAGCCAGGGGAAGAAAGGCTTACTCTTGCATGAATTTTGTGCATCGGGTCTCTAGTATGCATATAAGTTCCCCAGTTAAGGCCCCGCCCCCCGCCTTACCTCTGAAATTTATCATGCTTCTATGTCTCTGGATCTCTTTTGTTCATCAGTTTATTTTGTTCATTAGATTCCACATATAGGTGAGATCATGTGATACTTATCTTTCTATGGCTTATTTCACTTAGCATAATGCTCTCCAGGTTCATTCTTGCTATTGCAAATGGTAAGAGTTCTTTCTTTGTTACAGCTGCATAGTATTCCATTGTATAAATGTACCACAGTTTTTTAATCTGCTGATGGGCACTTAGGTTTTTTCTAAATTTTAGCTATTGTAAATTGTGCTCCTATGAACGTAGGGGTGCATATATTCTTTCTGATTGGTGTTTCTGGTCTATTAGGATATATTCCTACAGGTGGTATCAATGGGTTATATGGGAGTTCCATTCTTAATATTTTTAGGAAACTCCATATTTTTTTCAACAGTGGCTGTACCAGTCCCTTTGCTCCACATCCTCACCAACACTTGTCATTTATTGATTTGTTGATGATAGCCATTCCTCATTGTCATTTTAATTTGCATCTCTTCGTTGATTGGTAACTTTGAGCATTTTCTCATGTTTCTTGGCTTTCTATATGTCCACTTTGGAGAAGTGTCTATTTAGGTCCTTTGTCTATTTAATTGGATTCTTTGTCTTCCTTTTGTTAAGCTGTATGAGTTCTTATATATTTTGGATATTTACCCCTTATTGGATGTATCATTGACAAATATATTCTCCCATGCAGTGGGTTCTCTTTTCATTTTGTTGATGGTTTCTTTTGCTGTGCAGAAACTTTTTTATTGTGATGTAGTCCCATTTGTTTATTTTCTCCTTAGTTTCCTTTGCCCTAGGAAATGTATCAGTAAACATATTACTACGAGAGATGTTTGGGATTTTGCTGCCTATGTCTCCTAAAATTTTTATGGTTTCAGGATTTATATTTAAGTCTTTTTATCCATTTTGAGTTTATTCTTGCATATGGTGTAAGTTGGTGGTCTAGTTTCATTTTTTCATGTACCTGTCCAATTTTTCCAACAGCATTTATTGAAGACGCTATCTCACTCCATTCTATGCTCTTGCCTCCTTTGTCATATATTAATTGTACATAATGGCTTGGGGTGATTTATGGATTCTCTGTTCTGTTCCATTTACCTATATGCCTTTTCTTGTGCCAGTGCCAGGCTTTCTTGGTATTATGATTCCTCCAGCTTTCTTCTTCTTTCTTTCTCTTTTCATTCTTGGGGTATTGCAGATAACCCTTGAATGCTCATTGATAAGCCTTCCAGCATCTTGTCTAGTGTTTTCTTGACTTCATCTGTTCTAACAGCTTCTATTTCCTCTCTAGTTTGGCTACCCATTGTACATAACATCTTGGAATTGTTGTCTTATGTATTTTATCCTATTTTCCAGGACACAATCTTCTAATAGCTCCTGGGTCCAAGTAATCAAAGTAAAACCCTCCCTGCTTTGTCAGTGTGTGAACTATAGCCATTTGTCTTTAAATGTTTATTGTTACTCACATGTGACACAAACACGAGAATCTTTAAGCGTAGGGGTCCACCCTGTGCCAAGAACAATGCTGGAATTATCTCTTAAATGTGGCCTCCATTGCTCCTGATAGAAATCCAATGAAGATGCGACATGATGTATTTCTCATTCATTCATTAAAGGTGTATGTGTGAAACTACTGTCATAGTTTCCCTGCCTAATACTATTTACTGAAACTGGTTCTGGACTTCAAGGTAGAATAGGATCTAATATTATCCTCAGTAAAACCCTGAGAAATAAAAGGGATAAATGTCCCCATAAAGTTACTGTGATGGGGCCCCCACAGAGCCCACCTCCACTGGTGATGTTGTTGTATAGACCCGGAGATGAGTTTCTCTCTGGCCCAGGGCTTCTCAGGCTTCCATCCATGCCAGGCAGCACTAGCTCGGGTTTACTATGGCACCTCTTTTTCACTAGCTAGCCTCATCCTCTCTCTAACAGACTCCAGAGAAAAACAGAACAAGGAAAAACAAGAGAGACTTCTGCATCTTGGTCCTACCTCCCAGGGTTGTGAGGACTATTTGTAAACTATAAATTGGTAAAGTGCTATAACAGAATTGCCAAGTATTATTAATTGTGTCTGATGGCGAAACAGATACTCCTGGTACCAATTTCTGTATCAAGATTGTTAGTTGTAACCAACAGTAACTCTGAATAGTGTAAGAAGAAAATAAAATTTTAAATGGCTATTGGGAGGTTGGGAAATGGGCCAAGGCAACCGAGGCTTAACAGCCAGAGTCACAGCCAAACTTGTCCCACAGATAGGTCTTTGGAGGCACTTCTGACACCACCCCAGCCCCTGGACACCAGGCTCAGGATCCAGCACCATCAGCACTGGCCACAGGAGACTGCTGGGCTGTTGTGGTCCCAGGACTGAGCGTGATCACTTCTGTTTCTACTGAAATTCCTTCTCAGACTCCATCTTGCATCACTAGTCCTGTTATTCTGCTAGGGCTGCCAAAACACAGAGCCATAGACTGAGCACCTTAAACAACACAAGTTTATTGTGTACATTTAGAGGCCAGGGTCCGGGATCTGGGTGTCAGCGGGGTTGGTGCTTTCTGAGAGCTTTGATGGAGAATCTAGTCCAGACCTCTTGCTTTGGCTTGTAGATGGCTATCTTCTCCCTGTGTCTCTTCATATCGTCTTCTCTCTGCATTTCTGTGTCGTAACCTTCCCTTTTCATTAGGATAAAAGTCATATTGGATTAAGGCACACCCTAATTACTTCATTTCAGTGACCTCTATAAAGACCTATCTCCAAATAAAGTGACATTCTGAGATATTGGGTCTAGGACTTGAACACATGCATTTGGGGGGGGGGGCGGGTAAAATTCAGCTGGTACCACTACTTCTGCATACAAACTGTCAAACAGGGCTTATGTAATCCTGGTCTGCATCCCAGTTTGGGGAGGGTGGAGTGAAGAATGAGTGTATGCAGACTTTGGGTCTTCTTTAGTGTCCCCAACACTCACACAGGGAATTCCTCAGGCATGGGAAGGGTCAAGATCCCGAATGGCTGAAATTGTACATGTTTGTGTATGCTAGTGTGTATAGTGTGTGTGTGTGTGTGTGTGTGTTTGCGCGCGCACGCGCGCGCACGCGCGTGCCTTGCCACCTGAAATTCCTAATGGTGAGGATACTAACCCCTGATTTCCATAACCCAAGCACCATTAAATTGCCTTTCACTGATAGTTGCTAAAATCTGTGAGATACACATGAATTAGATTATAAAGCCACTAAGTAATACAGCTATTAAAATAGAGTAAAGAAATATCATCTAATAAAATGTGAATTAGACTGTGAAAAGTGTGGGCCAGCTTTCTGGATGCTTCATAAATTTCATATTACATTTTTGTAACTTTACTGTAGGTAGCCACAATTTATTGTCATCCTAATATGTTTTTTAAAAAGCCTAGTAGGTCCTTTTATGTCTTTGATGTTACTGCCAAGCTTTGCCTGAGCTGGTCGTCTACATGGGAATTTAGTCTCCTATAGAGTTTTCAAATTGTTAACATGATTTTTTCAAAATACTGCTAACATTTTGATTCCAGTGAAAGCATTATCTCACCAAAAAATAATGTACATCATTGTGTCTTTAGGAAGCATATATTTTGTGCACATCTGTGGAGTGCTGGCCTTAGGTTACAGAGTTATCAGAGCAGGAACTTCATGGCAAACCAACATCTGGTAACCAATGCTTTCGACAGAACTATACCTGATGCATGATGAAAACAAGAATCAGAGAACATGGTACAGAAGGTCACTCATATTTCAGGGTCAGAGCAATAGCCAAGGAAATGTGGGGTTGGTCCAGGAAGACTTGTAGAAATTTTGAGCTGGATTATACTAAAACATGTTACTGATTAAATGAAAATTGAGGTCAGGGAGAGTCATGGCTTTGTTAAAATAACTCCATTTTTTGATCTTTCTAAATCCCACTTGTCCGTGAGAAGGCACCTTCACAGGCTCTTCCTGACACAAGTTAAACAAAATCCCAAAATAGTTTTTGATATTTACAGATTTCATAATCTGGTCATTGCCCAGACAAATATTGACCATTCATGTGGGCCGCTGTAGACTTCACTTCTCAAGGAGATTTTGCAAAGTCCTGTTCTTGCCCATTGCCTCCCAGAAATGCCTTCCTCGTGGCCTCTGGGGACTGGAGTGCAGGCCACCTTCTCTGGTCCCTGAAATATGACAGGAACTGCTTGGGTGGTAGCTGAACCAATTTTGAGAAAACGAATGTGGGTCAGTAATTTGAGGCTAGTTTCAAATCTTTCAGTAAACATTATTCCTCCCAATTCTAAGAGAGAAAGAGAGAGAGATACGGTTTCAGAAAAATATGTAAACATGTTTTTCCCTAAGATTTCTGTATTTCCTGTGTCCAGTGAAGCCAGAAACACCACAAGTGCAGCCTTTCAGTATTTTTCCACTTCTTGGCTGGGTCTCAACCAGAATACAGCAAAGCAGAAATGAGCCATAATAATAAAAACTGGGCCCCTTCCAGGAAACCTGTCAAAGGAATTCAAACTGTTCCCACCAGTTCACTGGCAATAATGATTAGAGGAGAACTGGTCTGTATCACCTTAGTCAGAATGGCTGGGACAGTGATAGCAGAGAAAATGTCCCTCTTCTTCATGCTCCTCAGATCCTTTGTAATTGGAACCATGGGTTTTGCAGGTTTCTACATCTAAGCCACTCATTCTGAGGGAACTGAGGTCCAGAGAAGTGGATCTGAGATCAAAGCCAGGCCAGGGAAAGAGGCCAGGGCTCCTGGTCAGCGTCCAGGCCTTTCTCCATTCCCCTACTTAACTCTTGGCTCAGACCACCAGGGCCACGCAGGTGAGGAGGAGGAGCCTGCAGCTGCCATGGCAGCCACTGCACATCACCCTCCTTGAAGCCCTCTCCAAAGATGCCCAGCCTGTATGGGATCTGCACCACACACTTCAAGGGACCGAGTCTACTGGCCCGATTCCACCTGGTCACTTAGAAATTCAGAGTTTGGGAGCAGCAGCAAATGTTTGAGCATGTCTTTGTTTTCCTGTGATTACCAGGCCATTCAGTCATGATGGCACTGCCGTGAACTTGGCGTGTAGCCTCTGTTTTCTAATCTATAAGAGGGTGATAATGACGGCTGGTGAAGTGGCTCAGCACAGCGCCTACACATATCACCATTTGTATTATTAAATCATTAGTATTAAATTAGTATTAGACATGGTTGGTGTTTTTCCATTGATAGCATTTGCTGATAAATGTGAGTAAGGAGGCATAATTACCAAATAAGCTGGAAGAGTTCGTTGTCCTGGGTTCATTGGAGACCGTGGTGAGGAGTCAGTCAGAGGTGGTGGTGACTCATGTTGCCTTTATTCAGCTTTGGGCACTTTCTGGAGGATCTGGAATTCCCATGGGCCATGAATGAAATCTCTTCTTCAGCATTTACTTCTGTATTTCCAGCCCTTAAGAGAGAATTATCATGAAAAATGGGTTGTATATGAGGCAGTCTTTTTAACGCGTTTGAGTGCTCAAGAAGAAAAAAACAACACTCTTTTCAACATTAAGAGCAGGAAAGTAGATATTTTCAAATGCCAAAAAACAAACTAAGAAACTGTGAAGCTTCCTATGAGTGCGTTTGAGGCAATCCTATTACTGCTGAGATTCCAAAGCACTGGCTTTGAACAGAAGAAAAGCCACCTGTCAGGGAAGTTCATCCACACACACTGAGCTGGAGAAGTCACGCTCTTTCTCTCATAAAATCCTAAAACAGATGATTCACACAGCCAAGAGCTGAGCTGGATTAATTAATTTGGCTAATTTGAAATAATATGGCATTTTGACAGCATAATTTAGCCTCAGCTCAGTGATGAAAAACGGAGATCTTTCCCCAAGTGTTTCGGTCTTGGAATCATTTTAATTTTATGTTCAACTAATTAGTAATTCCAGTCACAGGAGGAAGGAAAAGAAAATACATTTCCTCAGTGCACGCTCAATAATTCTGTGCCCATGCGGACATCCATGCTCCTGAGTGCTCGCTGGAGACTGGGCTGCTTCCACCCGATAATGGACGATAATGGATGGATGGGGCTCTCACACCGCGTGCGTCTCAGGGGAGATGCGGGCTGATGACTCCCAGGACGGGAAAACTCTACCAAGCACATCACTCCGCCTCCAGGAGCACTTCCTCCTGAAAACAGGCAGCTATGAAGTTTATTTATTATCAAAATAAAGTATTTCCGCCATCTCCTTCAATCTTGTATGAAAAAACAAGTAGAAATCTTATGACCCAGGACAGGAAGCTGGGCATGAGTCCTGGAGGCATGAAACTGTTACACATGGAGGGGCCTGCGCTCCGAGGTTCACACTGTGACTCGGGAAAGAAGACGAGAGTGAACCTGGGCGGTAGTTAGTAAAGGAAGAAGAGCGGACCCTAAATGTCAGCCAACACCAGGGGATAGATAGCAGTGTGGCAAGGAGGACGGGCTTTCGCAAAGGGCAACCCACAGCCAGAGGAACTGAAATGAAGGATGCCTGTCTGTGCTGCTGTATCCCTCCCTCCGGAGAAGGGTGTGGCACATCTGAAAGAAGCCAGCAGGACCAGAACCTGGTTTCTGTGTCTCCAAAAGCCACCCCTACTTTTGTTTTTATTTTTACATGTTGTTTAAAGTCAGGAAATTGCTTGCTTTCAGGCAGTTAGAAAGCATTTAGTTGAGAGTTACTAGGTCATGAATATCACCCAACCCAACTTTATTTTAGATAGGAACACTGAGGTCCAAGTAGTTAAAAGACACCCCCCCCCCCCAATCAATGATGAAATTCAAAATTGCAGCCAGTCTCCTAAGCAGGGCTGACTTCCTATGGGTTTCAGATGGGAGTGTATTAGGGGAAATAAGACAAAACCGACGAGAACAGTCACAATTAGGACGAGAACCAAGAAGGCAAAGGGGTGGTCAGAGCCCCATCCATCCATTACCGTCCATGTTCCAGGTGCTGGACATCCACTGGTGCAGGAGCTGCTCACACTTGGAGGGGCATGAGTTGATCATCTGCTCTCCTGTGGACCTCACACCACCAGCTGGAATGCTAGCCCTTGGGCGTCACCTGAGCTCTTTTCCCAGAGTGAGCCCCCACTTTCCACCTGCAGCAAAGGCCTCCCCCCTGCCCCCCGCTTTGCCTTCCCATTCAGAACTGCCCCCAAGTGCTTTCATTCTGTGGGCTTAGCGTCCTCATCTACAGAAGCCATGGCTGCTCAAAACCACCTGTGAGGATGCTGGACTCCAGATTGGTTGTGGTTCATAGTTTGTGTTCTTTTGATCTTTTCTTTGAAATCAATTGCCCCTTCCATTTACTGGCACAACCTTTGTAGCCCTTCATACTTAAGGTGGCAATTGTCCTAACTTCTCTCTTTCTCCCTGTCCCCATCCTTCCTGCACTTTCCCTTCAGATGAAGCTCTTCACATGCCCATTCCCAACAAGTCACTTCCTAGTGGCTCTGTTCAAACACCTTACATGGCTCCCCGCCACTCACATCACAGTCAATTCTCCTTTGCTGGCACTCAAGCTCATGCACTATGTGACTATTGGCCACAATCCTGATGCATTGATAGCCGTCCCCAGCAGGCTGGGGCCAGACATACACACTTTTCCCTCCTGTCTCCTGTCCATGGGGAGGGAGCTTTGAGAATGCATGTACCTGGTCATACAGGTATAATGTCACACCAGCCAGTGGCTCTCACCTTCCCTACCCTACCTTCTATTTGAGTGCCCAGGAAACCTTTGGTATGAGAAGTGTGGGTGTGGCTTGAGAAAGAGCTAAACAAGGTGTTTAAAGTGGGTGAAAGAGGGTGAGGATTGTTTTGTTTCACACAACTCACTCTGTGGCTCTGGACTCCTTCCTCTTTCCCTGTGGCTTACCGATGGGACTTCTCCCACTTCCTTCTTCCCAGAAAAGAGCTGGTGGCTCCCCCAGAGCAGTGCTCATGCTTGACCACTCTGTGTGTCTCACTGCTTCTTTGTGTTCCCAAGCAGACAGCCTCAGTTGGCATTACCAGGCCAGTTGCTCTGACCCCTCAAAGAGCAACTGCAAACTGAATTTTCACCAAATTTTATCACCTTTCCCCTTCATATCTCAGAACTGAATAGGTCTCTGGGGGTGAGGACAGGATGAGGTTCAAGGGAATATTGAGTAATGGGAGGCAGAGGTGTGTCTAAAACTATACCCAAGAGGACTTATTAACCCCCACTGTTACACTGACTCTCAGGGTCAATGGGGTAGAGAAGGAGTGAGGAGTGAGGACATGAGGAGCTCCAGAACTTGGGCCATGACCAGCCTGGGTGCTCAGATATCTATTTTATTGGAAGCTGTGTTAGTCAGTGTTCTGCGGAGTAATTGGCAAATTTGATTATGGGGGCTGGCAAGTCTGAAATCTGCAGGCTACACCTGCAGACTAGAGACTCAGGATGAGCTGAGATTGCAGTTCTAGCCTGAAGGCCATCTGCTAGCAGAGTTCCCTCCTTTTCAGTCAGTCTGAAGGCCTTCTCCTGATTGGATGAGGCTCACCCACATTGGAGAGCAACCCACCACACTCACAGTCTACTGATATAAATGTTCATCTCAACTAAAAATAATACCTTTATATCAGCGTCTAAATGCATGTTTGACCAAATACCTGGTGCCATGGCTCAGCCAGGTGGACACACAAATTTAACCATGACAGATACTAATCTCATGATGCCCAGGTGAGCCAGGCTAGACTAAAGGGCTATATCAGGACACACAGTCACATGCACCGCTCACACCTGGGCCTCCCCCATTCTCCTCCTGGAAATCTGCCCTCCCTCTTAACAGTCTGAACTAGTCCTGCTTTCTTACACTCCTGCTTCCTCACACCTCTTCCCAGGAACTAGTCTTGTCTCAAAAGACCTCGATCCATCTCTCCTCCGAGCCTCTGCAGAACTTATGATCTGTGTCACTCCCAAAGCCCTTGCCATGTACTGAATTATTTCGCAGTCTGCCTCTGTGCTCACAGACACATTTTATCCCCCATGGACCAGGGCCGAGTCCATCTCTCACGTATTTGAAAGTGCGTATCCCCTTGTTCTCTCTCATGAACATGGTGTGCTCTCCTTCTGTGTATTTGCACTGAACTACTTGGTTGATTCCCAAGGTAATGAAAGTAGAGAGGTTCTTTCATTGGCCTGAATTTATTATACTGTTTCTTTTCTAAACGTACTAATTAACATTAGGCCCAGGGGTCAACAATTTAGGATCCCTAAATGACTCAGATACAGTAAATGGAAAAATGCACCTGTGACCTCGGGAATGTTCAAAATATAAAACAGGGACTGTGCTGTTGGTAGTGAACATAGAAAACCATACTTATTTCTTAGGAGGATCCATGTAACTGTGAATATCTCAACAGGGATTTCAAAATATTTAGCCTTGTATACGATAAAGAGCATATTTGAAAACCAGTTGCTATAATCTGGGGCCATGGTGCAGTGACATGTGTGGGGCTGGGCCTGTGAGCCCTGCTTCTTTGGGGACATGAGGTCACATAAACAGCCAGGAATGAAGAGTCCACAGAACTCACCAACAGTGCCCTGGTAGAATATGCAAACCCTACTGACGCATCATACCCGTCTAACCCTGCATATTCTGGTCTCATTCAGGTTAAAGCTTCTTCACACTCTCATTTTGATATTACCCATTTTCCTTTCCTCTCTTTTCTAAAACTTGAAGTTTTATCTCAACCAAAATGAGTGCCTTTTAAGACAAAACATCTAGCCTCATCATCCTTTGGTCAGTTTTCTCGGATCACATTAATGCGACAGTCAGATAAGAATGACCCTTACAACACCAAGCGGTAGTTGTCAGTTAAACACCTTTCAATTTCAAAGAAGGAAAGAAAAAACAAAACAAACAAAAACTAACTTGTTTGTTCTGGGACTAAGGACCAAGTCATCCCTTTTCACATCTTTTCATTGTGAATAATACCTGCCCCACATGCTTGTGGCAGAAAGCTGAGCAGGAGGAGAGCGTACAATTGACTTAGTAAGTCTTATTAAGCCAACAGCCTGGACCCCAGGGCCTCGCCCAAGGGCATGGTACCCAGAAGGAGAATCCTGCCTCTGGCTTCAGGGCCTCCCTGGGCAGGTTGGGCCAGGAGCCTACCCCCACCCAAATGCAGGGCTGGCCATGCTTCTGCCATACTCAGTGCTCCCCTATTGGTGGGGATTAAGGGTCTCATTCAGAGCCTGATGCTGCCACTACCAATGACAGCAGGGCCTGCCCTGTGTCCCCTCTGCTCTGCCTGCTGGCTGTGTTCCGCACCACACACTTCTATGTACTGCACACTTCTTGGGCCCCACCAGCATTTCGCTGCCTCCTGAAGGCCTGACCCCCTTCTCTCTGAAACCAGGGAGGGAATAAAAGAAAAGGAAGCCTCATTGGTG